CACTCTGCAGAACTCCGCGCGCGCGGGGGGCCCTGTAGTGCCCATCGTATGGTAGCTTCGCTCAAACCAATGTTAACTTGGAGATCCAGTCGGTCAGCGTTCAACTTTTGAGAACAGCCGTAAGCCCTGACAGGCCTCGACGCTGCTTACAGCTGCCAAAGGTGCCAAGGCTTACCAAGGCTTGACAAAAGGGCTACCAGACGCGCTGTTTACGAGAAAAGGCAAGGATAATGAGTAAAACACCGAAGCAGTGAACCATGAAACACGAGACTCAAAACATCGCAGCATAACTAATGGAACGACCGTCAGGAACAATTCGTGACTCACGTGGTTTTGGGTCTTTTGGATTGGCGGCAGGTTTGCCATCGGCGAGCGAGCGTCAACGAAAAGGGGCTCGGCCGAGGCGCTCGCCGCTCCCCGCCCAAGAGATGCGCGCTGGGATGCTAGCAGCCGGTTGGCCGTCGACCGTCCGATGGCCGCCCGGCAGGAGGGCGGTGGTTTTTGGGGGAAAGCCTCCGGTTGCGTGCAGCCGAATCCCAAAAATACTACCGTAGTGCTTTTGTGTCCAGCCGTGAGGAACAGGGGCGGGCGCGCCCGGCGCGAATGTGTCCCAAATGAGGTAACATTTTTGTTGGAACAGAAGCAAAGCGAAGAAGACCACCCAAAGGGCAAGTCCGCTCCAGAGCGTTCTGGAACGCTCTGATAAGGCCGCGGCGCCCGAAACATCCTCCAGGTCCGCCGGGCCTCATAGTATCTCGATTTATGCCCGCCCGACTCTATCCTCATCCTGGCTTCTTTTGAGACTTCTGGGCAGCTTTCGAGCCCCCCCCCCCCGGGAAAACACAACTGTAGACAAATTGTGGGCGCGGTTGGATGATCCGTGCGTGCGTATCCCGCGCGGGAGGGCGCACGGCAACACAAGCAGCAGGTATTGATTGGATCGGCCAGGATTTGCTCTCCGCTTTCTGACGGATGTCGTCTCCTTGGCGCCGCCGCCTAGCCCCGCGTAGGGTCGTCCCACAGGATCTCCAGTCTCGCCCCCCCAGAAAACAAGATGACGCGTCGGGGGCGTTGTGCGCCCGCAGGCCCGCGGTGCCCATGTTGGCACCAAGCTCGCAGCGCCAACTTGAAGAGCGTTGCTCGTTGTATGCGCTTTCTCGCAGTTGCCCGCTCTCCGTGCCTCGTTGGTGCGGCAATTCGGGCCGCCGCGGCATCTTGGCATGTCCTCGACTCGAGCAGTGCGATCGCGCCGCAAGTCCTGGCCCACCGCGCTTCGGCGCGACACGCTATCCACATCTTGGTTCCCGAACGTCAGAGGTCGCGAGCGCTTCCCGTCCCCCCGCCCCGCGCAGCGGAGCGGCACGCTGGTCAGCTCGCAGGGCAGGGCGCGTCGCCGGGGCCGCCGCTTCCACGCGCCAGGCAGACGCTCCCGGCAGGAACCCGTGCCCGCTGAGCCAGCCCTGCCAGCGAAACCGATTGCGTAGCCGAGATGTGCTGCGCCTTTGCTGGTTCGGATCTCCGGTGGCTGCCGCGGCCCAGAGCCGTCGGTCGATGGTGCAAGTGGCCTTCGCCTGCTCGGGCGACACACGCGCGCGCGCACGCGCGCGCGCACGCGCGCACGCGCGCACGCACGCACGCGCGCGCGCACGCACGCGCGCGCACGCACGCACGCACGCGCGCACGAACGCACGCACGCACGCACGCACGCACGCACGCACCACGCACAACGCACGCGCGTGCACACGCGCGCACGCGCACACGCGCACGCGCGCACGGCGCACGCGCGCACACGCGCACGCGCGCACGCGCGCACACGCGCACGCGCGCGCACGCGCACGCGGCACACGCGCACGCGCGCACACGCGCACACGCGCGCACGCGCGACACGCGCACACGCGCACGCGCGCGCGCGCACGCGCACGCGCGCGCACCGCGCGCACGCGCACCCGCACACCCGCACGCGCACGCGCACACCCGCGCACCCGCACGCACCGCGCACCCGCGCACCCGCGCACCGCGCACGCCCGCGCACCCGCGCACCCGCGCGCCCGCGCGCCCGCGCACCCGCGCACCCGCGCAGACGCGCAGACGCGCAGACGCGCACGCGCGCACGCGCGCACGCGCGCACACGCGCACACGCGCACACGCGCACACGCGCACACGCGCACACGCGCACACGCGCACACGCGCACACGCGCACACGCGCACACGCGCACACGCGCACACGCGCACACGCGCACACGCGCACCCGCGCACACGCGCACACGCGCACCCGCGCACACGCGCACACGCGCACACGCGCACACGCGCACACGCGCACACGCGCACACGCGCACACGCGCACACGCGCACACGCGCACACGCGCACACGCGCACACGCGCACACGCGCACACGCGCACGCGCGCACACGCGCACACGCGCACGCGCGCACACGCGCACACGCGCACACGCGCACACGCGCACACGCGCACACGCGCACGCGCGCTCACGCGCACGCTG